CAAGTCTTTTTGTAAATAGGATGTGTCAGAACCTAATCTGGACTAGAAACACACTGAGGCCAGTATAGCACTATCCCTAAACACATCTATCCTCCCAGATGTACATGGTTAACTACACCTCCTCCTGGAGGTGGGCTCTTGAATTCACAATCTGCTGTGATTGTTTTCTCCTCACACAGGGATGTGGGGAGGTTCAGGAAGTATGAGTCCTTTCTGAGCTTTGTTAGCCTTTGTTGTTGCTGTTGTTTGTTTGTTTGTTTGTTTAAAATAACACTGCTCCCTCTGACCAGAGTGAGGCAGAGTTTGAAAGGAGAACTTTACTATGGGGTGCTTAAGACCGAGGATTTAGGAAGAGCCTCTGTACAGCAGGATGTGTGCCTGGTAGTGTGACAGCAACGAGTTTTCACTGGATGGGGGAACGCAATGTCAGGGCATGATCTGGTCAGTCCAGTTCTCATTCCTGGTGTCCAGGTGCCTTGTGGTTTCAGTCAGTGTGGTTTCCTCCAGAAGGTACCCCTTGAGGGGAAAGTGAAGAGTAAGAGCCAGAGCGCCTGCTTGATAGTCTCAGTCCATGGCAGAACCAGAGGCATTTTGGGTGTAGGCACACTCGTGTCATTTCTGGACTTTGGCAAGTGTGAAGCCTGCAAAGGGCCCAAAACACTTTCAGCTTTTTACCAAGGAAAGACCCTGGCCACTCTTCTCGAGATCATTGTATCCTCAACTGCGGCAGCCCATCTCTCTGTCCTGCAGGCCTCAAGGCCCCAGTGTGGTACAGACAGAGGGTATGGCTTTCCCATATCCCGGTCTCTAGTGCCCATCTTCTGACAGTGCTCACGTGTACTGCAGGCCCTGTTGTTTTCCTCCCAGATTCTAGTAAAATTGTCCTCAGGCTTCCTTCTGAAATACATATATATGTATATACATACATGCACACATGCATGCACGCATGCATATGAAGGAAGTGGAAAGTGAAGAGCCTTATTTCCCCTGAAAGAGGACCCAATCTCTGTAGGGAAGCAAGCAGGAGAGCTGAGCATCAGAGCCCAGCTGTGAGAACTCTTGAATCAACACCACTTGACCCAGGGAAGGTTCCTGTGTGAGAGCAGACATAAGTGCAATGAAAACACGGCTTCTTGCACACACTCGACTTACAGGACAAGAAGCTGTCCTGGTGGGACACAGAGTAGCCCGGGAACAGCTACAGGAAAGGATTTGCAACCCCGGCTTCTCCACTTGCCAGGACAAGACAGACTATGTGGGCTGCAGAGACCAAGGGCTCTGACCTGCCCCTCCCTGACACAGCACCAAGTGGTACCTGTTGGAGCCAGCTGAACCTCGGAACTTCACTTTCCCAGTCAGAGCAGCTGTGCCAGCAATGCTCTATACACCCACGGATTTCTGCCATTCTCAGTTCTCAGCCTTGGCCGAAGAAGCAGCTTTTTTTTTTTTCTTTACAGTGGGCAGTGGTGGATGCCGAGACTCACCCCTGGTCACAACTCTGGGAAACAATGACCCTGGGGATGTCATTCCTAAATGGGATGTCTCTATCTTGCTCCACCCCACCCCACCGCACCCCACCAAATCGCCAGGGCTAGGAGAACATCACAGAAGAGGAGGCAGAAGGAATGTAATAAATGTAGAATGGGTAAGAATACTGTGGCATGTTGTCTTCTACACGTGACATTTTGCCACCGCACTTGAGAACTCTCAGTATCTGTGACGAGCCCCACAGGAGATCAAGCCAGTCACTTTTGCAGCCTGGGTTGTGGGAGGAGGCTCAAGAGGCCAGCCTCCTAGCAGAAATGCTATTGGTAGTTGCTGGAGGTGGCTGGGAGAGGGAGAGTCATTTTTCTCCGGGCATGTGGCCTATGGCAGATTGCCGGGGCTCAGATGCCCAGGCTTCCACACCCTTCTGGGCAGTACTAAAGAGACTAGTGTATTACTTTTCAAGGGAAACCAGAAGACATGAAGGTGGAAGGCGGTGACTATGCCTGTATGGGGTTAGGGGAAAGAATGCCTAGTGGGGAGTGGCAGGAGGCATTGAGGGTGGATGTAATCGGGACACATTGTACATAGGTAGGAAATTTTCAGAGAGAAATGATAAAATCCACCTTTAATATTTCTTAGAGTTTTATACATAAAAATATGTTCTTCAATGTTAAAGATCGTATTGAGAGGAGAGTCAGGCATTAAGCATACCCCTGTCGTTCGATACTGAGAAGGAGCATCATCACGGGGAATCTGATCCCAGAGTCACAAAGGAGCCGTCTGTTGTACCATCCCATGAGGAAGTGCCAAGCTAAAGGGATTGAAACGTGCTTCAAATGGCCAAGATACTTTTGGTATCCAAATAATCATGCTTGACACTCTTGGTCTGTAGTGGTGACAGTAGGGGCTTCAGAACACATCGGTCGTGCCACACATACTTCTAACATGTAAATAAAACAGCGTGGCATGTCACGTCATAGAGGGCATAGGGACCATCAGTTCACGCCTGTGAAGACACTGCACTCTTGGGATACCCATGGAGGAGAAGAATGGACTTGTGAATGTGTGGTTTCCTGAGAAAATTAGCTATGCATATGGAAGGAGCCCTACTGGATATCCTTCTACACACACTTTACATGCATACAGCCCTGACTGTAAGGGGCAAGAGTGCCTAGATGTTAGAAGGCCATGTGGAAGCTAACCTTTGGACATTTCTTCCCTCCCTGCTTCCTCCCTTCCCTTCTCCTGGGCATCAAACCCAGGCTACTGTGAGGGCTTGGCTAGTGGGACACCACAGAGCTATCAGACCTGGCCCCAGAAACCATTTCTCTCTATCCTGTGTTTGTGTCTACTTTGTACATTCACACGCTAACTAAGTCTCACATTGGAGGTTGGCTCTTCCTGGCATAGCTTGTTTTTGTAGTTTCTCTGGACTCCTCTTCCCCCTTCATGGCTCCAATTCCCCCACCTCCAGACTTACACCCTTTTACCCTAGCAGCCCCCTTTCTGCTTTCAGGTCACATGTGTGTGGGCATCCATCACCAGCCCAGCCTGCCTCAAGACCTCTACTGTCCCTCTGTGGCTCCCCCTATAGCCCACAAAGTGTGTTTTAGTGCAGTCATCTTTAAAGTGGAGAGCCCTAGTCATGACATGCTTTTTGTTGTTGTTGTTGTGGTTCACATCTGACTATAACGGTATCACATTATTCTCCTGTTCACACGACACAGTACACAGCAGGTACAAATTCCAGCAAGAAGGCCCCTGAGAGAATACTGTGTGTGTCCACACCCAGGGGCTGACATTTAAATTTATAACTAGTGAAATCCTCGATCACAAAATGGGAAACGGGACGTAAGGAGCGGAACGGAGTTCAGTCTGCACCAGGCTTGCACAGAAGAGACTAGCCAAAAGAGTCCTAAGTGTGAGAATGTGCGAAAGCTTAGTTGCAACCCCAGTGTGAAGGACTTCAGACCGACTCCAGACGGAGGAGAAGTTCTTTTGATGTTTGGTGTACCGGGGGCAAAAGGATTTCTCTGTGTTGCAGGTGGCCTGAAGATTGCCACAGAAAACACATTGGGCCAGCCTGAGCTACAGGCTGAGATCCTGTCTCAGATCTCAAACCCCCCCCCCGAACCCCCCCCCCAAAATATTACAATATCCCAAGTTGTCATTTTTTTGGTAAAGCTGGAGATATGTGTAAGTCACAGACCAGCCAGGAATTCTATTTTTGGAAGTATGCTCCAGAGAGGCTTTTACATGTGTGTGCCTTCCACGAGTAAGATACCCAAACGCTCATGATAATAGTAAAAAGCTAGAAAGGAGTCCACTGGCCATTTATTTACTGTAGAATGGCGTGACCTCACCACCACAGTGTAAGCATGTGCCTGAAGGCTCATCAACAATGGTGAGGATTTAGGCTAGCTATCGGTCCCTTACAGGCAACATGGATGGTGTGGAGATAAAACACAATCCAGAAGAAGTGAGCCACAAAAGGTAGCACGCGGACATTGTTTCAAGTACATGGCCCCATATAAACTGCATTGTTTAGGGGTGTGCAGCCTAAGGAGTTCCGCAGGGAGGACTGAGGAACTGGCTGGATTTTCCAGATTTCGCTACCCATTGCTAGAATCGCCAGGTTTCACACGTTCAGGCCGAAGGGTACAGGTCTGTCTTGGCTCCTTTTCTAACTTTGACTCCTTCACCAGGATGACGAAAGCCTAAATATTCCAAGGTAGGGGTCTGTGTGTGTGTGTGTGTGTGTGTGTTGTGTGTGTGCACGTGTTGTTTGAGTGTGTGGGTGTGTGTTGTGTGTGTGTGCACATGTGTGCGGGGGTGTGTCTGTGCTTCTGTGTGTGTTCGCGGGTGTGTGTGTGGTGTGTGTACGCACGTGTGTGCTGTGATTGTGTTGTCTGAGTTTGTGTGTGTGTTCTGTGTGTGCAGGTGTGTGTGTTGTGTCTGTATGCACGCGTGTGTTGTCGTTGTGTTGTATGTGTGGGTTCTGTGAGTGTTGTGTGTGCGCACGCGTACATGTGCGTGTGCGTGTGTGTGTGTGTTGTGCGTGTTGTGAGTAGCGGGCATCTCCACCAGAAATGGTAGCATTAAGGTAGTTCATTTAATGCGGGCAACAACCCAGCTTCTCCTGTCAGAAGTTTTCTCCCCTGCCAGGCAGTAAACAACTTCCAACTCAGCCAGAGAGGGAGGGAGGGAGGGAGGGAGGGAGGGAGGGAGGGAGGGAGGGAGGGAGGGAGGGAGGAAAGAAAGAAAGAAAGAAAGAAAGAAAGAAAGAAAGAAAGAAAGAAAGGAAGGAAGGAAGAAGGGCCAGGGAACATGCTGAGCCCAGGGAGAGGGAGAGGACTCGGCATGGCATGTTGTTTATTTGCCACACAGTGAGGTGGGGACTCCAGTTGTTTTCATTGGCTAGGTGTCTAGGTGCCTGAGCGGCCTTCTGGACGAACTGTCATTCCCCCTTCACTTTGCAAGAGCTCGGTTACTTTGTAACACAAACTGTACAAGTTGTTTGTTCGCCTCAGACTCTGCCTCTGGGCCTTCTGTTCTATTCCAGAGACACGGTACCAGAATATTTAAATCACTGTGGCGTTAAATACGTTTTAATATCTGATAGGGCCAGTTTCTGCGCATTGCACTTTTTTTTTTCCTTTCAGGAACGTGTTCGGGCCCGCGGCAGGGGGCGGGGTCGCGCCTCCGCCTCGGCTCTGGTTCCAGCCGAGCCTCACCGACGCCGGCCGAGATGGAAATCCCGAGGCTGCTCCCGGCTCGCGGGACACCACAGGGCGGCGGCGGCGGCGGCTGTTGCCCCGCGGGTGGCGGCGGGGTCCACCGAGCCCCGGACTCTCTGGCTTGTCAGGCCCCCACGCGCCGCCTCCTCCTGCTCCGGGGGGCCCAAGATGGCGGGCCGGGGCCGCGGAGCGCAGAGGCCCAGAGGGCCTCACGGGGCCTGGGCCCGAGTCCTAGCGCGAACCGGTTGGCGCCGAGGCCGGATCACCCGAGCCGCAGCGGCGGCGGCGGCGGCGGCGGAGGAGGAGGAGGAGGCGGCGGCGGCGGCGGCGGCGGCGGCGGCGGCAGCGGCGACGACTTCTTCCTGTTGCTGCTTGACCCGGTGGGTGGCGATGTAGAAACAGTGGGCACGGAGCAGGCCGGAGGGCCGGTGTGGAGGGAGGAGGCCGAGGCAGGCCCGGGGCCCGAGCGGCGCGAGAGCGGCGCGAACCCTGCGGGCCGGCCCGAGCCGGGCCCCCGCTGCCTGTCGGCCGTCCCGGCCGCGTCCCCGCTCCCCGCGGCGGGCCCGGGCCCGGGCCCCGCGGCGGCCTTCGCGGGCACCATCACCATCCACAACCAGGACTTGCTGCTGCGCTTTGAGAACGGCGTCCTCACCCTGACCACGCCCCCGCTGCCTGCCTGGGAGCCGCCGGGGGTCGCGCCTTTCCCGCAGCCGCAGCCGCAGCCGGGGGGACTGGTCGGCCCGCAGGCCGGGTTTCCGCCCGCCGCCGCGGCGCAGCTGGGCGACTGCCCCGAGCTGCCACCGGACCTCCTGCTGGCCGAGCCGGCGGAACCGGCGCCCGCCCCGGCGCCTCCGGAGGAGGAGGCCGAGGCCCCGGCCGCCGCCCAGAGCCCCCGCGGGCCTCTCGTCCCGGGCCCAGGCGTGGTGCTGTACCTGTGCCCGGAGGCGCAGTGCGGACAGACCTTCGCCAAGAAGCACCAGCTGAAGGTGCACCTGCTGACGCACAGCAGCAGCCAGGGCCAGCGGCCCTTCAAGTGCCCCCTGAGCGGCTGCGGCTGGACCTTCACCACGTCTTACAAGCTCAAGAGACACCTGCAGTCTCACGACAAACTGCGGCCATTTGGCTGCCCGGTGGAGGGCTGTGGCAAGAGCTTCACCACCGTGTACAACCTCAAGGCGCACATGAAGGGGCACGAGCAGGAGAACTCCTTCAAATGCGAGGTGTGTGAGGAGAGCTTCCCCACGCAGGCCAAGCTCAGCACCCACCAGCGCAGCCACTTCGAGCCCGAGAGGCCTTACCAGTGTGCGTTTTCTGGCTGCAAGAAGACGTTCATTACTGTGAGTGCCCTGTTTTCTCATAACCGCGCCCATTTCAGGGAACAGGAACTCTTTGCCTGCTCTTTCCCTGGCTGCAGCAAGCAGTATGACAAGGCTTGCAGGCTCAAGATTCACCTGCGGAGCCACACGGGAGAGAGGCCTTTCCTTTGTGACTTTGATGGCTGTGGCTGGAACTTCACCAGCATGTCCAAACTCTTGAGACACAAGAGGAAGCACGAGGACGACCGCAGGTTCACCTGTCCCGTGGAGGGCTGCGGGAAGTCCTTTACCCGCGCCGAGCACTTGAAAGGCCACAGCATAACCCACCTGGGCACGAAGCCTTTCGTGTGCCCCGTGGAAGGCTGCTGTGCCAGGTTCTCCGCCAGGAGCAGTCTCTACATCCACTCCAAGAAGCACTTGCAGGACGTGGGCACCTGGAAGAACCGTTGCCCGGTGTCCACCTGTAACAAGCTCTTCACATCCAAGCACAGCATGAAGACCCACATGGCCAAAAGGCACAACCTCAGCCAGGACCTCTTGGCCCAGCTGGAAGCTGCGAACTCTCTTACACCCAGCAGTGAACTCACCAGCCAGGGCCAGAATGATCTCAGTGGTGCAGAGCTAGTGTCTCTGTTCTCGGACGTGCCTGGCCACAGTTCTGCTGCTGCGGTGCTGGACACGGCCTTGGTCAATTCTGGGATCTTGACGATTGACGTGGCCTCTGTGAACTCGACTCTCGCAGGAAGTCTCCCTGCCGATAGCAGTAACCATGCCTTAGGGCCAGCGGTGGACCCCCGGGCCCTCAGGGCCCCCAGTGACCTTCCCCAGAGTCTGGATACCTCCCTCTTCTTCGGAACCTCGGTGGCTGGCTATCAGCAGAGCCCCTTAGACATGGACGATGTCTCCGGTGGAAACGTGGGGCTCTTTGGCTCCTTGGCCCTGAAAAACTCCAGCCTGGAGCCCCAGGCTTTGACACCCAGCAATAAGTTAACCGCGGACACCGAAGCTCTGACTCCCTCCAGCACCCTTTGTGAAAACAGTGTCTCGGAACTACTGACCCCTGCCAAAGCCGATTGGAACGTGCATCCCGAGTCTGACTTCTTTGGGCACGAGGAGGAAACCCAGTTTGGATTCTCCAATCCAACGGGAAGCCATGGTTCTCAGAAGGACACAGACCTTATCACGGTGACTGGCACCCCGTTTTTGGTATGAACCTACTCTGCCCGTGCCCTGACGTGTGGCTCGCTTTTATTATTACACTCAAGTCTGAGGATGTTCTGGACGGAGTTGCTTACTTACCTGCGGTCCTTTCTTGGCTGCTTGGCAAAGGAGCGAGCGCGTCTGTGGACTACATACAGATTTAGAGATTTAAATTCTCATCCTGGGTCTGGAACTGATGAGTTCTGTGACCGTGAGCAAGTCTCTTAACCTAGCTGAGCCTTAATTTTTTTCTTTTACGTATAAAGGAGGTTGTTTGGTTAGATTGCTTCTACTCTCTTTTCAACTCTTTAGGTTCCTGATAGTGTTTTGTTTTTTGAAATTTATTGTGACACCCCAAGAATGATATGCTCCTATTTTGAATGTAAAGTAAATTAAGTTATGTAATAGTGAACATATACTTTGCACTTCATGAATTGTAAACCCATGCATCATTTTATTTGTCCTTGTTCCCTTCCCCCTTTTAGTATTATTTTTGAAGGACTACCAGATACTAGCTTATTCATAAATATTCTGTACAGAGCTTCAGAATACATTGGGCCTTGAGAAAAGTTTATTATAATAATTTCTGTATCAATGAAAGTCCATGTTTTTAAGTTCATATTGTCACATATATATTACCTGGTTTAATATTCCTTAATGTTTTGATATATATTTTAATCTGTATGTTCCATTTCCCCTCTTTTCTTAAGAATTTATTCATTGAAAATAATTATTTTTTGAGTAGAATTTGCCACATCCTATCTAATTTTTGCTGATTGTGTCCTGTGTTCACTCAGTTTTCTCTATTTAGTAATTAATGACTTGATCATATTTAAATATTTTTGCATGGTTGTTTTATAGATTACTCTGTGTTCTTTTAATAATTTGCTTATAATGTCTCCTTTCTCTTTTGTGATACTGAGAGCCTTTACTGGTCAGGACATTTGCTTGTGATTACTCTTGCTTCTGATATGTTCAAATGTTCTTGTACAATCTCTAAAAACTTAGGGGAGGAGGAAATGTTGTTTAGAACACTTGGGAAAGTTTAATAGAAATATTATTCAGTGTCAGAATATTTTCTTAAATTATGTTAAGACTAACCAGACAAAATAGCAAAGAGAATTGTATTTGCTCTTGTCATTGTTGATATTTTCAATATCTTTTGGTGGTAGTAGGAAGGCTGTGTTGCTATCCAGGACTTTGATATGACAAACTCGGAGCCCAGTTTGTGCTCTGGAGTATTGGAGAGGTTGTCTTGATATTAGTCTCACTAAACCTCAGTTTCCTGTTTACTGATTAATGTGTATGCACATGTCTAGGGTTCCTTAGACTTTTCTTCTCATACAGTTTCAACACATAAGCAAATGTATGTATTTCAGTACATTTTAATGACTTTTTATGCTCTTTTTACAGTTTCAGGTTTTTGTGTTGTTAGGAGAAAAGGCATAATTCAGTCCTATTGGTGTTCAAGTTAATAAAATGTTGTGAGGTTAGAATGAAAAGGAAAGGTTCTTTTTATTCCTTACCCTGAATAATTTTCTTTCCCAAATTGTTGTGGGAAAGCTAGGAGTGGAAACACTACTCACCTGGTTATCTCCATACCTCGCTATTTGATCAGTCCCTCAACATCCTTGTTCTGTTTCTAACACCAGGCTTCTCTCTGTGACTCTGCATCCCTGGATTCTTTCAAAATCTGATAAAGGAGAAGAGGGTGATTGTATCCTTTGTGATCTGAAGAGAGCATTGTTTATAGCTTTCCAGAATTGAAAGAAATGAAAGATTGACTCTCATTATTATGTAAACTCTGTACAGAGAGTATATCGTTTTTAGTTTGTGGAATGTTTTCATAACGTATGTCTTTTATTTTTGTTCAAAACAACCCTGTGAGGTAGTTTTTTAGCAAAGTCTGTGCATGTTTCATATTATAGTTTAGCCAATTCACATTCCAACTTGTTTTGGCAATGACTGACAATTCTATGCATAGCTTCACAAAAGAAGAAAAAATTTTCACCTCTCCTGTCTGCAACTTTCAAGATTCACTCTTCTCTATGATAACTGATTGCTGTGTTACAACTTAACTGGTTTCTGTTAGCTTCTGCTTATTTTCCATGGTTTAATCCCTTGCCTATGTATTCCAGTCCTTACATAGCTTTTTTTGTTTGTTTGTTGTATTAATAGATATTTTTCCTATGATTATCCCTTCAACATTTTACTCATGGCACATTTTCTTTCAGAGCTAGCATTCACTAAGTGTATACTATAGTTCTGTGTGTACAGTAAAAAGCTATTTTCTGAGCTTAAATAATACTGTGTGTATATATGATTCAAAGCATAAAGGAGATTATTTTTTATGCTGTTCAACTGAGAAGTGAATTTCAGTTTCATTTTTCCTATTTAAAAAGTTTTTTCCCAGGGAGTTCTGCTAATCCTTTCTTATTTGTTCTAGTATACTAGTCTAGTAGCATTTGCATGTAGATGTCTGTGGATGACAGACTTTGGAAATGCACTCAAAATTTGCCACTATGAAATATTTCTCTGTTGTGTGTATGTTTTTATTTATACACACCCACAGATATTTGCAAATATTTTAAAAATGGTTGTATGCATTTAGTGAAGATGTAGACATACTTTTATAAATCAAAGAAATGCTTAGAATTTTATTTTGTCTACCCATTTGACAGTTTTCCATGTTTGTGTTGAAACTATTTGTATTCATAAAATATATTTCAAAAGTGTTATTCATTTGAAAGTTCCTAAATAGACCACTATTTTTTGTGTTTGGCAAATAAGTCTGTCAAGGATGAGCTGAATACACAAGTCATGAAAATAAAGTAAATTTATAAACATGAAGATAAATTAATTCTGTGATTTTATTTATTTCTTTAATTCTTTAAAGCAACTTTTTTTCCAATAAGAAAGCACAAACAATATTTCCCCTACTTACTCCTAGAAATTTCAAAGGGCAAATGCTACTAAAGATAGCAGATTTTATTTGTTTATGTCCTCACTAAGTTTCATCGAACAAAGTTTCTCAAATTCTTCCCTACTTCAACATGTTTTTATAGCAAAATGTTGAACAGCTTTGTGTTTTTAAGATAAGAAAGTTACTTTCTATTAATTATGGTATAAAATTGTCAGCACTCTTTTTAAATAATAGTGCACTGTTATCATTTTCTTTTCCCTTCCCTTTGCTTCTCTTTAATTTTTGGTTTATTTTACTGATTGGAAAATCAGTAACAAAATAGCTTAAGAGGATCACATTGATCATGAAGTAAAAGTGTATTAGCCTTTAGTTGAGGCTGTGGTGTAGTGGTAGAACATTTGCCTAACCAGCACGAGGAATTTGATTTTTACCACCACAAAAATGTATGTATGTATGTATGTATGTATGTATGTATGTATGTATGTTTTTCTATAAATATACATTTGTGGCTCTTGTGTTTGCCAGTCAGTATAATGAAAAACTACTTGAGCAGTAAGCATGAACCATAGATAGTCTTGATGTTCCTATTGAGGAAACAGATGTGGGCACAAATTGTAAGCTGGATATTGTACTGCACTTATTTCAAATTAATTAACAATTATTTATGCATGTAACATAGTAAAGATTCTTTGACAATATATATATATATATATATATATATATATATATATATATCACCTTGACCTTTGAGCAACTCACACTTTAAAGGAGGAAATAGAAAATTAATGTATTATACAGTATAAAAGTAAAAACAAGTTTAACTTGATATCAGGATGATGGAAAGGTAAAACTAACAGAATGATGTGAAATATGTTATGAACACATATGAGAGCCAGTAAATGTTTTAATAGAGAAGTCAATGATAATTATGTATTTTTTTAATAGGCCTATGCAGGTGTGCATAGAAAAACTTGAATAAAAATATAGAAAAATATGTATGGCAGTTACAATGAAGATAATGAAGTGTGAAGCCATGAGAGGTATCAGTGGCTTTGAAAGAGAAAGAAAATATATTAGGGATATTTTTGAAATTTCTCTAGCACACAAAGAGAGAATATTATTTAATATATTAGTAAGACAGATATAGCTGTTACTAGAAAAAAAAAAAGACTGACAAGAGAAACAGAATGGTAACTTAGGTTTCTTTGGGAATTGTAATAGGATGAGAGGAGTAAGAAAGACCACTTTTTGAAAATGAGCATATAAGTTTAGTGTATTTAATTAAATGACAAGTGATGGCACAATTATTCCTGAGCTGTCTATATTGTTTATTCAGATTCTGTATAGCAGCAGAAGACCCTTCCTCTTTCTTCATTCCTTTGGGCATTCTGTGAACTACCTAAGCAGTTCTCATTGTTATTTCTCCCTGAAGTATAAGAGATATATTCATCAGATCTGCAAATGACTAGTGTTGCAGTGATTAGTCTTAAGGACTGTTAAGTACATGAATTGTGATGGGTACAAGGGAGATTTAAATTCTTAATTTATGTTTAAGCTTTTTCAGAACAGTGGCAATATAAAATACTGGTTTTCTGTTGTGACCAACTGTATTGTTCTGGTAGGATTACATTTCACTTTGGCCATGGGAAATATTTTCTTTTGTTCTTTAAAAGAATTTTTTTTAATTTAGTCATGAAACACTTAATACCCAAATTGAGATATACTGTTAATTTAAGAAAAACAGAACTTAAATGTATAGTATAAATATTTTATTAGTGATTACATGAAGAATAGTATTTTGAATATATTTGTTTAAAATATTAGAACTTTGTACTTTCTTTTTACCATTTAAATTTGTTTGATATTTTGTTGTTGTTGTTGTTTGGTTTGTTTTTGAGACAGGGTTTCTTTGTGTAGCCCTGGATGTCCTGGAACTTGCTCTGTAGACCAGGCTGACCTCAAATTCAGATATCACCTGCCTCTGCTTCCCAAGTGCTAGGACTAAATGTGTGTGCCACCATTGCCCAGCTAGTTGCTTGAGTTTTTGTGGTAGGATATTGCTATGTAGCCCAGGCTAGTCTCAAATTTGCTTCAACCTCTGAAATTATGAGATTACAGGCATGTACCAATATACAAAATCTTCTTACTTTCTTAAAGTAGCCACTAGAAAGTTGAGAATTATGTAAATAACTCTTGCCATACCTGCAAAATAAAGTAATATATAAAATTACACTTTAAGCTGTCCTTTTATTAACTAGATCAATTTACCTCCATCTGGCTGCTATATATAATAATAAGGTATTCTACCTCTCCTGTCTGATTGAAGCTCTATTTTTTTAAATCAGTCAGCTGTTTACTTTATGCTTAAGGAAAATAACAACAACAGCAACAACAAATCTTAATGTGTTATAAAGTACTGCATTATAATTTAGAGGACAGTGTTTTGTCACTGATTTGAGCAATTATTACTATGTTTTTTAATTATGAAAGCTCAGCCTATAGCCTAGGTTTGTTCCCAACTAGTTCTTTTTTTCAGTTTTTTAAATTTAAATTAGAAACAATCTTATTTTATATATCAATACCAGTTCCCTCTCCCTCCCATTCTCCCATGCCCCCCACTGTCCCCCATCCCTCTTCTGCTCCACAGAAAGGGTGAGGCCTTCCATGGGGTATCATCAAAACCTTTCACATGCTGGTTTCTCAGTCTCGGGTTCATGTGCTCCCCCTTACACAGGTCAGTTCTGCAATTATTTTACTAGCATATAAATATTATGTTTCCTTACAAACAGAATTTGTTTTTGTTGTTTCTTTTGTCCCCATTCACATTCTCTAATGTT